TTGAATTTATATTTCTATCTCTTTTGATTTGTTTGGATGGGTGTGGAATTTCTGTTTCTATGGATTTGAAACGGTTTTGATGGTTTTGTATTTCTGTTTCCATGGATTTGTAACTTCTGTTTCGATAAATTTGGAATTTCTCTTTCGATGGTTTTTGAATTTATGTTTCTATCTCTTTTGATTTGTTTGGATGGGTGTGGAATTTCTGTTTCTAAGGATTTGAAACTTTTTTGATGGTTTTGTATTTCTGTTTCTATGGATTTGTAACTTCTGTTTCGATAAATTTGGAATTTCTCTTTCGATGGTTTTTGAATTTATATTTCTATCTCTTTTGATTTGTTTGGATGGGTGTGGAATTTCTGTTTCTATGGATTTGAAACGGTTTTGATGGTTTTGTATTTCTGTTTCTATGGATTTGGAACTTCTGTTTCGATAAATTTGGAATTTCTGTTTCGATGGTTTTTGAATTAATGTTTCTATGTCTTTTGATTTGTTTGGATGGATGTGGAATTTCTGTTTCTATGGATTTGAAACTGTTTTGATGGTTTTGTATTTCTGTTTCTATGGATTTGGAACTTCTGTTTCGATAAATTTGGAATTTCTGTTTCGATGGTTTTTGAATTTATGTTTCTATCTCTTTTGATTTGTTTGGATGGGTGTGGAATTTCTGTTTCTATGGATTTGAAACTGTTTTGATGGTTTTGTATTTCTGTTTCTATGGATTTGTAACTTCTGTTTCGATAAATTTGGAATTTCTCTTTCGATGGTTTTTGAATTTATGTTTCTATCTCTTTTGATTTGTTTGGATGGGTGTGGAATTTCTGTTTCTATGGATTTGAAACTGTTTTGATGGTTTTGTATTTCTGTTTCTATGGATTTGTAACTTCTGTTTCGATAAATTTGGAATTTCTCTTTCGATGGTTTTTGAATTTATATTTCTATCTCTTTTGATTTGTTTGGATGGGTGTGGAATTTCTGTTTCTATGGATTTGAAACGGTTTTGATGGTTTTGTATTTCTGTTTCTATGGATTTGTAACTTCTGTTTCGATAAATTTGGAATTTCTCTTTCGATGGTTTTTGAATTTATATTTCTATCTCTTTTGATTTGTTTAGATGGGTGTGGAATTTCTGTTTCTATGGATTTGAAACGGTTTTGATGGTTTTGTATTTCTGTTTCTATGGATTTGTAACTTCTGTTTCGATAAATTTGGAATTTCTCTTTCGATGGTTTTTGAATTTATATTTCTATCTCTTTTGATTTGTTTGGATGGGTGTGGAATTTCTGTTTCTATGGATTTGAAACGGTTTTGATGGTTTTGTATTTCTGTTTCTATGGATTTGTAACTTCTGTTTCGATAAATTTGGAATTTATCTTTCGATGGTTTTTGAATTTATATTTCTATCTCTTTTGATTTGTTTGGATGGGTGTGGAATTTCTGTTTCTATGGATTTGAAACGGTTTTGATGGTTTTGTATTTCTGTTTGTATGGATTTGTAACTTCTGTTTCGATAAATTTGGAATTTCTCTTTCGATGGTTTTTGAATTTATGTTTCTATCTCTTTTGATTTGTTTGGATGGGTGTGGAATTTCTGTTTCTAAGGATTTGAAACTTTTTTGATGGTTTTGTATTTCTGTTTCCATGGATTTGTAACTTCTGTTTCGATAAATTTGGAATTTCTCTTTCGATGGTTTTTGAATTTATGTTTCTATGTCTTTTGATTTGTTTTGATGGTTTTGTATTTATGTTTCTATGGCTTTGTAACTTCTGTTTCGATAAATTTGGAATTTCTGTTTCGATGGTTTTTGAATTAATGTTTCTATGTCTTTTGATTTGTTTGGATGGGTGTGGAATTTCTGTTTCTATGGATTTGGAACTGTTTTGATGGTTTTGTATTTCTGTTTTGATAAATTTGGAATTTCTATATCGATGGTTTTTGAATTTATATTTCTATCTCTTTTGATTTGTTTGGATGGGTGTGGAATTTCTGTTTCTATGGATTTGAAACTGTTTTGATGGTTTTGTATTTCTGTTTCTATGGATTTGTAACTTCTGTTTCGATAAATTTGGAATTTCTCTTTCGATGGTTTTTGAATTTATGTTTCTATCTCTTTTGATTTGTTTGGATGGGTGTGGAATTTCTGTTTCTAAGGATTTGAAACTGTTTTGATGGTTTTGTATTTCTGTTTCTATGGATTTGTAACTTCTGTTTCGATAAATTTGGAATTTCTCTTTCGATGGTTTTTGAATTTATGTTTCTATGTCTTTTGATTTGTTTGGATGGATGTGGAATTTCTGTTTCTATGGATTTGAAACGGTTTTGATGGTTTTGTATTTCTGTTTCTATGGATTTGTAACTTCTGTTTCGATAAATTTGGAATTTCTCTTTCGATGGTTTTTGAATTTATGTTTCTATCGTCTTTTGATTTGTTTGGATGGATGTGGAATATCTGTTTCTATGGATTTGGAACTGTTTCAATGGTTTTGTATTTCTTTTTCTATGGATATGGAACTTCTGTTTCAATAAATTTGAATATTTCTGTTTCGATGGTTTTTGATTTTATGTTTCTATGTCTTTTGATTTGTTTTGATGGTTTTGTATTTATGTTTCTATGGCTTTGTAACTTCTGTTTCGATAAATTGTGGAATTTCTGTTTTGATGGTTTTTCAATTTCTGTTTCTATAGCTTATGTTTTTGTTTGGATGGATTGGGAATTTCTGTTTCTATGGATTTGGAGCTGTCGATGGTTTTTAATTTCTATTTCTATTCATTTGTAACTTCTGTTTCGATAAATTTGGTATTTCTGTTTCTATTTTTTTTGAATTTCTGTTTATTTGGCTTTTGCACTTTTGTTTCTATGATTATCTTAATTTGAAAATTATTAGATGTTGGCAAATCTAGTCCATACTTCTTTTATTTTTTTCTTATTTTTATATTTTTCATCGTCTTTATCTAATATATCGAGAATAAAGAAAATATCAATTTTTTAAATTTTTATAAGACAATTCTTAAAAGAAGTCAAACTTAATTAATCTATAGAAACGAATAAATCAATAAGATTTATACCATTTCACTCCATTTTATTGAAACAGAGTGCATAAGTCATCTTTGCCTACTGTTGGGAAACGTAGAGGTAAAAGCACTAAAGGAAGGGATTCCTATAAATATTATTTGACGGATGATGAATATAAAATTAGGCCCAATCAAAAGAAAAAAGTGGAAAGGAAAAAATAAGGATTCTTCAGTCTCAGATGCTGAAAATTACCTCTTTTATTTTTTTCTTCGGTTTATATTTTTTATCGTCTTTATCTAATATATCGAGAATAAATTAAATATAAATTTTTTAAATTTTTATAAGACAATTCTCAAAAGAAGTCAAACTTAATTAATCTATAGAAACAAACAAATCAATAGGATTTATAACATTTCACTCGATTTTTGGCTATCTTCCATATCATAGAAAGTTTCAGCACCATCTGAGACTGAATGCTCCCTATTTTTTCCTTTCAACTTTTTTCTTTTGTTTGGGCCTAATTTTATATTCATCTTCCGTCAAATAATATTTACAGGAATCCCTTCCTTTAGTGCTTTTACCTCTACGTTTCTGAACAGTAGGCAAAGATGTCATAGAATCTGGTACGCAGTGATTTCTGACTTCGTAATATAGCAACTAATTATGGTTGGCCGTAAAAACCGCCATTTAAACTATTTATGTCAGTATTAGTCTACACTACGTTATTCAGTAATCTATTTCTGCCAATCAAAGGGGCGCTAAGAGAATTGAACACATTTCCATAAGGGTTATTCCTACAGTATCCCTAACCCCCCTATATGATTATTACAATAAAGTTACCAAATAGTAGTATCAAGTGCAATAAACCATTACTGAATAGTATTATCAAAACCAATATCGTTACAAATGTATATAACATATATTATCGCAAACTAACTTTAGCGATAGAAAATAAGCCATAATAGATGAAAAAATTATTAAAACAAATTAGTACATTTAATCGACTTGGAAACACCAAAATATGTCGCTTAAGATGACTCCCAAGTAGTCTTGTTTAACGGCGCGTTTTGAGCCGATATATAATAAACTGCTACCACAATATTTTAGCCAGAATAATATCGTCCAAGTCGCGAGATTTCGCTAATCGATGTCTGGACTTTTGCGCCATCTATGGAGCAAAAGTTTTAGGCCTTGCGTAATATTATTCTGGATAAAATATGGAGTTAGCCGTTTTCTTTCTTTCTTTCTTTCTTTCTTTCTTTCTTTCTTTCTTTCTTTCTTTCTTTCTTTCTTTCTTTCTTTCTTTCTTTCTTTCTTTCTTTCTTTCTTTCTTTCTTTCTTTCTTTCTTTCCTTCTTAATTTGTATTAATAAATCTAAATATGATAATTTTTAAAAAAAATAACCTGGGAATATATGCATTTTAACGAAATTCTCAATTGACACATTCGCATTTAGCAAAGTATTATATATGTGGAAATTGTTTACGATATTTTCTAGGGCTCTGTTACTTGGAACCCAGATTGTATAATAAATATCTGCCTTGAATGTTAAATTGGATCGATCTAGAAACTGTCTAAATATGCTGATTTCTTCATATTCGGCTAGAATTTCTTCATATTCGGCTAGAATTTCTGACAAATTCGCAATTAGAGGAACTAATGCCTTAATATATAAAAAAATTTATTTAATATTTTATTTTAAAATATAATGTCAATAGTAAAATCATTACATTTATTTAAAAGATTTTGTATATAACTAATAATTCAATATTATTTATTAAAATTGGTTTTTAATAAATACTAGTAACTACTACAGATTAAAAGATAATATAACCAAATAATTTTTTCTTTCATAATATATTTAAATACAAATGTATGAATATTTCAAATAATAAAATACCAACCTTAATTTTTATTACCTAAAAAGAGTCATCTAAAAGGAGTTCATATTATTTTTCGTAACCTTAGCGATAAAGCGAAATTTTACTCCGCAGAAATGATAGATCTTTTTGCTAATCTTTCTTACACATTGTATATTGTTGGGTATCACAATCTAATATTCAAATTATTTAAAAAAATAATAATAGTTAATTTTTATAAATGATAAAATTTTGGCAAAGGGTTTTGCATGTCAAAATCGGCAAAGGAAAATTAAAATTTAAAGGTTATTTTATAAAATATATAATGAATTTATATCCTAAAATATTACTATATAAAGTTGAAATCTTAAGATATATAAAATCACAATTTAATTCTTAATTATGGCTAAAAATATGCTTAAATTGATATTATTTTTAAATGAAAAGTAATGTTGGTTTATATAATAATTTTATTTACATTTATGAATCTTATATATTTCTATCTAAAATAATTTGAAACTGATTAAAATATTTACTACAATTCTTTTTTCATAAATATTATTCCCTTCATTTTTCTATATTCCACCGCTGGAAATGCTATGGAATACATTTAGGCTATATCAAGTTTTTTACAAAATTTTTACACGCGTAATATCATTGTACATTGAACCATTTGCCCCTTCAAGATGTCGAATAGTATTCAGGGCATTAGATAGAGCTATATGATTTTCAAGGAACTCTTTAGCGTAAGAGGTATTCTCTCTCAATTTTTCTTTTATGTTTTGGTCAAGATTCTGATATACGATTTTATATAAATATAAGTTGTTATTAGAAAGGTTTTTTAAAAAAAGAAAGAAATAAAATAAAGAAAATGAAAATAAAGAGGTTAAAAAAATGGAAGAGAAAGTTAAATTAAATAATTAGAATATACATATATCTTTTAAAAAAAAATGAAAATCAATTAATCAGCTGTTTATTACTAGGAAAGCCGCATTGTCTGGTATGAGAACTAATTTCGCGATTTTCGTTCAGAAGAGTGAAGTTAGATCTATGAAAGTAATTCTAGAATTCATTGGCTTCCGGTTCTCCCCGCAAGATTTTAACCAATGAGAGGGCTTTTATAATTATAATTTATATATTCGAAAAACTATATCATGTATACGTTTACGTAAATTATTTTCAAAAAATTAATAACTCAGTAAATTAAAATCACTTTTCCTTCCCAGAACAACAATTTTAATTGGTTAATTATACTGAAAGATCATGGAGTTATACGACCCTTTCATGATTAGAGTAATTCCTGTATATAAGTAAAATAAAAAAATTTTGGGCACACCCGGGCAAAATCTAAAATGGTCATGCCAACTCAATCGAAGTTGTTTAAATGGAATTGAAATAATTCGGAATTGAGTGAAATTAATAAATATGAAGAGTGGAAAAAATGATTTGATTTACATTTATTCGATATCAAGACAAGGTCCACGAATATTACAACTCCGTTGAATAAAACGCGAGTGTCAATGATGAATCCATTATTTATCATGTTAGAGCCGATATTTACCGTAGAACTTTTTAAAGTTTCAATTGCGTGAAGTTTTTTATAGAGATTAGGACAAATTCATTTTGCGATTCCGTGCATTTTAAGCGTTTCTTTTAATAAAAAATAATATATAGATATCCATTCTCGATACATAAATAGGTAATGTTTTTTATATATATGTAAATATGGGGTAACTTATGCAAGTAACTGTTAAAAACACATGATTGGTAGCTAAGATTAAGAATTACATTATGATTCCAAATATACGTTATGTATTTTTCCCGGAAATATATTATTTTTTCAATTTTATAAATCATTTTTTGAGCGCGTTTTTAAAAATTTAAAGATCGGATTTTATCCGAAATAATCTAATTTATATTTTAAAAAAATATAATTAAAATTTAATATAAATTATATTAATTTTGAAATTTATGGACAAATTGTGTGAAATTTATAGGGTTAGGTATTCCAAACATTGATAAGCTCAAAAAATACACATTGCCAGATTGACGCCATATATAAATATTTCACTTGATATAATATTATTTTTTAGAATATAAATTTGAATTGATTATTATATAAAATAAAATGCAATAAGTTAAAGTAGAAAATCGTGATATTTTTTATAAAAGGAAATTCGAATATTATAATTATTTTAAATAATTTTAATTAAAATTATAATTTATTTTAAATAAATTTTATATTATATTATTTTAATTTATTATAATTATTATTTCAATTAATATTTAAAAATTAATAAATTTATTTTTAACATCTAAATTAATTTTATGTAAAATTTAATATATAAATATAAATAGACAGATATCTTAAATAAAATGTGTTTGAAATATTTTTTATTAAAATCTACTAAAGTTTTTACTAAAGTTTTAAGAACATCTTCAACTTAAGAAGTTGATGTCATGATGAAATTAAATAATTCCTACCTTCAAATGAAGGAAAAAAATATTGAATAATGGTAAGAAAATTCTCGGGGAAATAAAAACCTTTAGCACATTTTACATTAAATTCTAATTCCTGGATGAGTTGTTGAGATAATTGATTTATAGCTGAATTTGATGGTAAGATGATAGTATGATATTTCCCGGGATTAAGAGTCAAATTGGCTAATCCTGAGGCTAATCAAATCTACATTTACAAAAAAAAATAATATTATGGAAGAGGATAAAGATAATTTTAAATTAAATAGGAAATCAAAAATGGTTTTAAGATATTGAAACGATTTTGCAAAAGAAAAAAAAGTGATAAATAAAAGAAAAAAAAGTAAAAGACAGATAGAATAAAAGAAAAAAAGAAAAAGAAAGAAAGAAAAAAAGAAAAAAGGTAAATAAATTAATCATTTTGTAGTGAAAATCTTTAAACTTAAAAAAGCCTAATTTTTACAATTATCATAGAGATAATAAAAAGTATTTTAATATATTCATACATTTTGCCATAGTCGAGTTGAGTTCTTGTTGCTTCAGGAAATCATACACAGTTTGTTTGGTGCGAGGAAAATCCTCCTTTAATTTGTAAATCATTCCTTGAGTAGTAAAATAATCCTTTATCACGGGTACACAGTTAACTGCCCATCGGGTACTCATTCTAGGTTTGTGAATCGTGAAATGTAAGCCATATGACTCGGAACCTATCGTGACTTTTCGCATATCGTTTAATATGAGACCCCTATGCAAATATTCAGGAATAATATTCCGCTCAAGACCAAAACCCGAATTGCTAATCGGAAGGAAAAGTGTGATATTCCCATGATCATTTAGAATTTCTAACAGATGGGAAGTATTTACTATTGAAGAATTGTTGCGAATGTAATTAATGCCTTTGAGAGTTTGGGTCATGTTCTTCAGCTCCAAACCTAAATTAATAATTTTGTATTTTAAAAACAATTTATTTTTATAGAAATTTGAAATTCAATTACTTTAACGTCCAAACGAATTCATAAGTAGTTTTACAAATTTTTTTTCGGTATTTTGGTTGCAGATGTTTAGAATTTTATTTTACACTGGATAGATTTTGCAGTGAATATAAACTTTAAAACCTATTATTAGAAAAATAATTTATTATTTTAATCCTCATGAATTGATACAGATAATAACATAAATCCTTTATTCTAAACTATACTATAGAAAAGGATTATGAGCCTTGAATTATCCTAAAAATTTGGCTGAGACTCTAAAGAAAATACGATAAACTGTCTAATCAGAAATATGGCGCTAAATCTTTAATCAAACTAGTCATCAACAAAAAAATGGCTCTAAAATAGCAATTTCGATATCCTTTTTAATTACACAGAAAATTAGTTATGAAATCATACGTTGCAATTGTTCAGCGAAACATTTCACTTTTTAGCGATAAATTTTATAGCAAAACTTTTACCACGAATTCACATTGGGCTAAATTACTATTCTGCTAAGACTATATTGCGAAACGAATATCGCCATTTTTTTTATAGCGAAATCCTTATCAGAGAAAGCTAATAGTAAACTCTTTTATTTTATATGATCATATTAATTCAATGATTAAATCACTATTTTAAAATTCTGAACACGTAAGAATTCTATATATAAAAAAAAGAAGTTTGAAATAATTATATTATATTGTTCAGGTATTAACTCTTACTTTTATCATTTTTGTATCGTAATTAATTAGCTAAAACCTAGAGAATTTCTTAGAAAAATTTGGGCTTCCTTAAAGAATAATCTACGAAAGGATCAAAGGTCATACTAAAGTTTTAAGTATACAATAACAAGTTCAAAATTTAATTTAAATTTTAAATTATACGATATGTATATTATATTAAAGGCTGACTTTGTAGGTTGAAATATAATTGATAAAATTTAATTTCAATCTTTAGGTTTTTTTTTCTTTTTAAAAACTTGATTTATAAATCAACAAAAGAGGTATATAGAAGGCTTTTTTAAATAAGAAAAAATTTACTTCAAAAACAAAACAAAAGGCAAAATATATAAATTTAAGGAAGGTGTCTAAAATGAATGACTAAACAAAAATACTATTAATTACCATGGATAGGCTGTCTATATAGAGCCGTTAAGAAAGTTGAATGGCAAATTTCTAAGCTAAGTTCTGAACAAATTTAGAAATAATCTTTAGGATCGTCCCATGTGATGGCTAAATTTTCATTAAATTAATCCATAATGGTTTCCAAACATGTTCCTAATTCCTATTATTTATTTATTTTTAAACGATGAAAGACCGCTATATTTTTACCGGTATACCGTACCGCCACAGTTGACAATTCTTCTTCAAAAAACTTTAAAAATTCTATGTTCGAACCACTTTTTCGAAAGCATGTTAATCCGTCTAAGAACGATAAAAAATCGTGTTTTTTGTTTGTTCAAACAAGGCTTTGAAGTCAAGAACAAAGAATTTTATATTTTTTTTCTCGATAATTTTATTTATTAATTTTTCTCGTAGGTTTAATTATACTATTACTACCGTTCAGAATTGATTATATATATAATTATTTTTTTTTTCTCTAAGAATATTCAACCCTGAAACTTAAGAAGAAGTGTGGAGATCATGTTAGTTTATTTTGTTAAAAATAAGAGTTTTAAAAAAAATAATTACAACCAATTTTAGGGCAGTTCTATCTTAATGCATAAAAACAAATATAATTAAACAAACAAATAGCAGAGTTGAGCAGATCCTACGAAAAAAATAAACTAGATACAGATACAGATTCTTTGTAAAAAAATGAATCTTAGATACAGATACTAATATCTTTTTCAAAATATCAAAAAGATACATGCCTAATTAGAGTATCTTAAATACAAGATACTTTTAAATTATCATTATCAATTAAATTAGAACAGTTTATAAAATACAGTTATTATTGATTTGTGAAGAACATAACATACGCATATAATAAGAATGAGGATTTGCAATAATTAATAAAATATTTAAAACTTTCTATGATATGGAAGATAGCCAAAAATGGAGTGAAATGGTATAAATCCTATTGATTTATTCGTTTCTATAGATTAATTAAGTTTGACTTCTTTTAAGAATTGTTTTATAAAAATTTAAAAAATTGATATTTTCTTTATTCTCGATATATTAGATAAAAACGATAAAAAATCCAAGCCGAAGAAAAAATAAAAGAGGTATGGACTTGATTTGCCAACATCTAATAATTTTCAAATCAAGATAGCTCAGAGAAACAGAAGTGCTAAAGCCATTGAAACAGAGTGCATAAGTCATCTTTGCCTACTGTTGGGAAACGTAGAGGTAAAAGCACTAAAGGAAGGGATTCCTATAAATATTATTTGACGGAAAATTATGATAAAATTAGGCTCAATCAAAAGAAAAAAGTTGAAAGGAAAAAATAGGGAGCCTTCAGTCTCAGATATTGAAACTTTCTATGATATGGAAGATAGCCAAAAATGGAGTGAAATGGTATAAATCCTATTGATTTATTCGTTTCTATAGATTAATTAAGTTTGACTTCTTTTGAGAATTGTCTTATAAAAATTTAAAAAATTTATATTTTGTTTATTCTCGATATATTAGATAAAGACGATGAAAAATATAAACCGAAGAAAAAAATAAAAGAGGTATGGACTTGATTTGCCAACATCTAATAATTTTCAAATTAAGATAGCCATGGAAATAAAAGAGCAGAAGCCATAGAAACAAAATTCAAAAGCCATCCAAACAAAATTTCCAAATTTATCGAAACAAAAGTTCCAAATCCAGAGAAACACAGCTATTAAAATTGGAAGGTATTTTAAAGCTTTGATTATTTTACAATCCAGAACGGTGTATTTGAAACCCTTGTCATTTAAATAATTTTAAGCTTTCAATATCTGAGACTGAAGGCTTCTTATTTTTTCCTTTCAAATTTTTTTTTTTGATTGGGCCTAATTTTATATTCATCTTCCGTCAAATAATATTTATAGGTAACCCTTCCTTTAGTGCTTTTACCTCTACGTTTCCCAACAGTAGGCAAAGATGTCATAGAATCTGGTACCCAGTGATTTCTGACTTCGTAATAAGGCAACTAATTATGGTTGGCCGTAAAAACCGCCATTTA